CTAGTGAAGATGAAGATTTGCCTGATCTTGCTACTGAAGCAGATCGAGGTCTGCAGTTTATTCAAAGCCGCAGAAAGGAAAGAGATCCATTTGGGTTGTACAATCATGTCATCATGGACAGTGGTTGTACAAACACCACCATTTGTAATGGTGAGCTTATGCATGGACTCCGTCATGCTGAGAAAGAACTTGACATGCACACTAACGTGGGCAGCAGAGTTCTCGACGAAGAAGGTTTTCTAGGAAGATTTCCACCTCCAGTTTATCATGATGAAGATGGAATTGCCAATGTACTTGCTATGCGCGAGATGATTGCTGCGGGATACCGCATTTCTATGGATACTGATGCTGACAATGCTTTTATTGTGCATTGTGATGGAAACCAAAAGATGCGATTTGTGAATCGTAAGGGTGTGTATGTGTTGGAGCAACTTGGAGCAAATGTCGAACCAGGTGCCAAAGAGACAAGTGTGATGTACCGTCGCCAGTTAAACAGCTTAAATAATCAACCCCATTTTGAACTTTCTTCAAACAAACAGAATGGATATGCTGAACTCGAGGTGACCTCCAAGATGGCAACCGTTCGAAAGAACAAGGAAGGATTCACTCCAAGACAAGTCAAGGCTGCAATGGAAGCAAGAAGTGCCATGCACATACTCAATGCTCCAAGCACCAAAAGTCTGAAGTATGCGATCCGATCTGGTGTCATCAAGAACTGTCCTATCACCGAAGAAGCGATCAATCATGCCGAAGCAATCTTTGGACCTGACGCCTCTACATTGAAAGGCAAGTCAACAAGACCAACTCCGAAGAAGACGTACGACGACTTTTTCAGTCCACCAGAGGAATTATATCAGCACAATCGATCTATTACCGTCTGTATTGATCACATGGAGATCGAGAATGCTAAGTTTCTCACCTGCATTGATACCACTGTGCGTTATTGCTCATGTATTCCTGTGCAGAACCTGAAGACTGACCCTGTATTTGAAGCATTGGATAAAATATTCCGCCGCTACAACAAGGCAGGCTTTCAAGTCAAGATCATCAAGTGTGATCGGGCGTTCATTCCTCTCACGGATGATGTGCTAGACGATATGGGTGTTACTATTGACCCGACTGCAGCTGGAGACCACAAGCCTACCGGTGAGCGAAACAATAGGACGTTGAAAGAAAGAGTCAGAGTAGCTCTTGCACGATTACCCTACAAAGTGGTTCCAAAAGTGATCACTGAATGTCTTGGACGTCGAGCAGCCGAGCTATTGAATGTCTTTCCCCAGAAAGACAGTATCTCATCACATTTCAGTCCGCAGCAACTCATTGATAATGTCAATATCAACTACAAGAGTGACATGGTTGCTGAACTTGGACAATATGTTCATGC